CTAAATAAACTGTATTATCACTCTGGCCACTAATGAGACACCTGACTGATACCAGAAGCATGCAAATAAATAGCATCTTTGACTATTTCACTGATAACTGCAGGGACCTTTGACCAAGCCACTACATCTCAAAATGCACTTCTCCAGGAGCTAAAGCATGAAGTGATAATATTTAGAAAGACAAACAAATATAGAGTGTCCCAGAGGAAGATGATTGACTTCAGCTTTTATTAAATCATCTGCAGTGCATTTGCAGGAGCTTTTAGGGTTTAATTGAGGTTAAGAGGTTGGAATCAGTGGTAAACAAAAGAATGGCATATGGGCAGTCTGAAATTGTGTATATTTAAGTAAGAGCATTCCTTCTGGCCACTTGTTTTCATTGGGCAGTTATTCTTGGCTCACAACTTAAACAAAAAAAAAGTGTAAACATCAATGCTAGCAAGTTAATGATTCATTACATTTTATCACATTCTAACATACCTCTAAAGAAGAGAAAGCTGATCTAAGCTTGTGTTTGACCTCCCCTTTAAGATTAAGGACATTGCTGCTTTAACCTCTTACTTGCTGTTGCAGGGTCGAAGGGCCCATTTGTTTTAAAAAAGAAAAACAGTAACACCTTCTCCCCATTCTTTTTCACTTCCTTTTTCTCACAATCCACAGTTGTTCTCTTAAAAATTGAAATGGACAAAGCAAACTTTCCAGGAGCTTTATTTTATAGAGGTTGTGAGGAGTTGAATTTCAATTTCTTGAGCTGTCCACAGAGCTGTGTGTTTGCACGTTGCTAAGGTTGTTTCCTTAGTCATCTTTTCTGAACTGTGCCATAAACTGTAGGAATATATTTGTTAGACTGCATCTCCTCTTGCGAATGAGAATGTGTGGCAGCTACTGCAGCAGTATGACAGTAAAGATGCACCTCCTTATGCTGGAAGGCCTGAGTTCATAATCTGAAGTCTTTGTTATCCATAAATTTCATGCAGCATATGACATCAGCTGACCATAACAACAGTGACCTGTGGGTCTCGGGTCATTTTGTAGACATCTGTTATTTATGTATGGCTGTTAATAGTGTGTGACCTAGAATCTAAGAGGACTCATCAATATAATTATATTGATTAGAGAGGATAAGCGAGAGATTTTCTCTTAATATTTCATCTGGTAGTAGCTTTCACTGATATTTTCTGGGAAGTCAAATGTGCCTTTTTTTCCTTGCTTATAATTCAGAGCAATCTCCTTTTTTAAAAACATCCCAGAATTCTAGACTAAAAATTATTTTTTTTTAATTTGGAGCCGGGGGGACGGAGAGAAGCCCTCTAGTGACTCACTCATTTTGATAACTGTAATGCATTAAATGTGATTTGTTTGTATTTTTGGTATTTTTGCCTATAAGTGAAGCTGTATTTAAATAACTTGGAAAAAACATGGTTAATTTGGTAATATTGTATATGCCAGTGCGATGAATGAAGTGAATGAACAACTTTTGTATTTGCAAAATAACACTTACAGATCTTTACTTATATTTGAAGTTAAAAAAAAGTAATATTTGAGCACAGAATTGAAGGAGGGTGGTGGGTGGTTGTGGTGTTTTGTGTTTTTTTTTTTTTTTTTTTTTTTCTTCCCTGAATTGTGCTTTGTCTTCCTTTTCCCATTTTGCATGCCAGAATGTTTCCACTCTATTCTTCCCTCCCTTCATGGACAGAGTGAATTTAAATGTCAAAGCAACTTTATATAAAGTTTGAAACCCTTCAAATAATGTGTGTTTATATATATATATATATATGTGCATATATATATATATATATAGACACACACATATATGATATAGAGATTGTGTGTGTATAATTTGTGACATTCTGCAAGCACTATTGAGTGTCCCTGTTTAACCTCTTTTTTGAAAGAAAGTGCTGGCTTCTCTAATTTATGAACAAGATTAAAAATGCTTTCTGTGACTGAAAATATTATGAAGCAGAATGCTTACGAGGGCATCTCGAACTTGAGATAAATGTAAATTAGATGCAAAGTTTTCTTTTGGGAATATTTCTTCTGCAGTGTTTGTCCTGTGTGTTTAGTACAAAATGACGTGCTTTCTTGCTGCTTTTGACCCTTCCTATCCTCGAACCTGTTTCGGGAGTTCCAAGGCAAAGTCACTGCATGACGTTATAACGCTGCTTCCCAACGTGCTCGGGGTCGGGGTTGAGCTGTGGGCGAGTGCCGCGCGGCTGGCGCGTGGCTGCCTTTGCAGGGACACGCAGCCGTCCTGAGACACGGGTGCTGTCTGGGCACATGTGAGACACCCACGCCTCCACTGCTGCACCAGTCAAGGGCATCTGTGTTTTATTGGCATAAATAAGTTGTGTCAGACTATCTTGTACGTGGTAGGAAGTAGTAATTGACGTGTTGTGATTGACCTCAGAGGCATAGACCAGGCCTCTGAGAGACACTTCTTGATTTCTTCAAGAGACAGCATGCAGTGGTTTAGGCATTGAGGCAGTAGTGACATTGTTTCCCCTGGGCCAAGGACAGGTGAAGAGGAGGTTTATTGCTCCCTTCTGCCTTCTTTTAGCAACCTTCCATTTTGTCCTCTTCAACTCCACTGAAGAGGCCAGAAACATTGTCGTTTCCTTAGTAAGGTAGCCACCTGGAATAGTCCACTGAAAGCTGGGAGAAGGACTGTCTGTAATGCTTGGTTTAGTAATCCCTTGTTATTGTACTTCCTTCCCTGACAAGATACGTTCTGCTAGGGGGACTATATAATATCCCTTCCTACCCATCCTTTGCATAATACTAGCGTGTTGGCAAGAGAAGGGGAGCCTTGCAACATGCACTGAGGATGGGGCCAATCCTCCAGAAAGGAGCTCTGCAACCTCAGGTGCTCAGAGGGAGAGGTAGCCCTTGGTGAGATACCTGCAGATTTTGTGGTCAGCTCCCTCCCCATGAGATGGTAGTTGTTGTGGGAGGTGTGGGAATGTGCTCGCTGTTGGAGGTACCTACTGTAAAGGGCTGGTGAAGAGCTGCTAGCATACAGGTTAATGTCATGGTTCTGCCGAATGTGAGGCTTTTCAAACCCACTTGAACCGTTAGTCGGAACTCTGTGTTGTATCTATGCTCTGTGTGGTCTATATGGTGGTTTGGGACCCAGTACTAAATGCCTTAAATCTGAAATCTCTGCAGTGGTATGATTTGCCCTGGAGCAACCCTCATGCAGCACTGTGTCTGTTTTGAGCCTGCCTGGGATGAACTGCTCTCGTAGCCTCAGCAGGGAGACTAAGCTCACCTGGCACTAAGGTGGACCAAGAGCACGTGTACTGTCTGCAGGAGGTTCTGCATGACCTCTGGCACAGAGGTGGTAACAGGCGGCTGGAAAAGCCGTGGTACCTTGAGCTCCCATGGCCATTTCTGCTGTGAGCATCTACCGCTTGGCCTGGCTTGGGGTGCACTTAAAAGGGCCGGACGAGCTTGCTGAAGCCTTCCTGGCTCTGCGTTTTCTGGACTCCGTAACTGCTTGGTGTCATGCTAGCTCAGGTCTCTGCCTGCCCTTCCCTCAAAGAGCCTTCCTCCCCAGGGCGGACTTGCTTTGGCCATATGGCTTCACGGAGTTGCTCAGGCTTCTTAAAACACCCTGATGTCTCTGTAACAGTGTCAGCTGCCTTATGGAAAAGGATTTGGGTCTGGCTGTCGTCTCTGAGCCCTTGGTGTGTCAGCATGCTGATATATAGAGCTGCCTCGTGTGCTGCTGTGAAGGAGTTTGTCAATTAGAGCTGTACAAATAAACCAGCCAAGTGGTGCGTATGCATCATCTTCCATCTGCAGCTGCCAGGTGCCCTAGGATGTTTTGTTGAACTAGAGAGCACTGGGGTGGAGAGGGCTGCAAATAAATGTCATAAATTGCTGAGGAAATTGTATTTAACCTAACTATAATGTGAAGATGATATTGACTACTGTGCATTTGGGAATGAATTGAATTTCTGCTCTCTTATTTTTGTAGTTACTATTGTAACTTCAGCTCTAAGATATTTGTGTAATATTCCAGACTGCTGCATTTTTTCATCTGCGATTTCAGCAGCTTTTACACTTAACTGAAGAACATAAAGTGGTGCCACTTGGGCTCAACTTCCAGGAAGAAGCTGGCAGTGTTTGTCTTGCAAAAGTTATGACACAGTGGCTCAGCTTTTTCTCTCCTGCAAGTTTGCACAATTTTCTCCTTTGAGTTTATGCATAGACTCATAGTGGTTTCCCAGAGAAAGAGGGGAGAGGAAAGATGATTCAAATAAAATTCAGAGTCTTCTTCATCAGCATACACATTCTGTCTATTTTCAGCATGAGAATAGAGTGAGAAGAATGAGATATCCCACTAAAAAATGGGCTGCTCCCTGCCCCTATCCCTGTATGCTTTTTCAGAAAATAGTCTGTTGTGTCATCTGTTTTATTACTTGTTTGTGTCATGAAATCTCTTTTCTGGTTTGGTATTCTGAGTAGATTTAATTGTTTTATGGCTCTCTGCTGTGATTCCTGGGCCGTTTAAAATGTTGCCTAGTTTACGCTGTGAGTTTGTCAGAATCATTAAGTGTGGCTCTGTAAAATGAGTGAGTCAGAGGATGGGAACCCAGAGCAGGTGTCATCTGACAGCCCTATACAGGGATTCATTGCGGGCATTTATATGGTTTGTGTCCCCACCTCTGGGGTAACGTGACTGCCTGTAATCAATAAGCTGGCTGACTAGTGCAGGGATAACCTGTAACAATCACTCTATGTATGTAGCCTTTTCAGACTCTTCCATTTTGTCTTTTCTATTTCCCCTTGCTTTTTCTTTTTTTTCCCCAAAGAGGAAAGCATCTCGTTAATGTGGGCTGCATGCTGCTACCCATGCTAGCAGCCTTCGTCCAAGGAGCTTGGCACTGAAGCTCTCTCCTTTCTGACAGGTGTGTTGGATGAAGGGAGCCTGACCCCTGGCAGAGAGGAGCTCCCCGCAGGCCCACTGGCGTGGGCATGAAGAGCTGCCCGCGATGAGCAGGACGCTGCTGGCCAACAAGATGCAGCACGAGTGTCGGAGCATGTGCGTCTTTCTGCCCAACAGAGAGCAGCTCAGCGTAACCGTCGGGGTGAGTGATTCGACGCTCTCGCCGAGGTCTTGGCATCGGTGCCACAGCTGCGCCTGAATAGCTGGGGCTGTGGTAGGGCTGCTTTCCACCAGCCTCTATTGTTCTCTCAAAGGCATCATGTCAGTCTGCTGACCACAAGGCTATTAGCCAGCTTAGTGTAATTAGTGCTCCATTTTCTAATTGAGCAGTTTCAAAACACTTGCAGAGTTTCTTTAAAGTCCTTCGTGGTTATGTTTTGGAATGGGGGAGGGTCCCTTTTTTTTTTTTTAATTATTGCTTTTTTGTTCTGAGTGGTTTTGTAACAAATAACAAACAAGTGTTTTTAAAATTGAACCTGAAACGCCTTGATCCTAAGATTTAGTGGGCATGGCTAATACAGAGCATACCTCCGCTTGCTGTGGCATTTTAGCTATTTTGGGATTTAATACTTTGTAGATCTCTTCAAAGACTTCATAGTAGGGTGCGTGGCCTTTGACTTATTTTTTAAGTATTTGTATGCACACAAACCAAAGGTAAATTAAGTCATTTCATTTCTTTGATTGTAGCTTCAAACATGTAATTATGTGTGCAGAAGTGATAGCAAAGCCAGGCTGCCAGTTGGCTGCCAGAGTGGCACAGTAACTGCTAGAATGCAGTGCCCCTTTGTGTAATACTGACTGCTCTTTAAGCTTATGAAGTACTGAACTTAACAGAGTATGCTTCAAATTCACATAACAAGCTGGCCTGAAAGTTTAGTGCTCTTATGAGCGTGTGCATGCACTATATGTGGGTTGCTGAGGTTTTGCTTTTTGTTGTTGTTGTTGTTTAATTGTGGGATGGGGAAAAGCCAGATAAGGTAAGCTGTTATTTTAAGCATGTGATTGGAAATATGGCTTTTGAAAGTGTGCATGCTAATCTTTAAAATCTGTTCAGGAATTTGCCTACCTACTATGCTTAAATGTGGCATTATCAACAGAAACCATCGCAAGTACTGGGTAGAGCAAGTTTTAGCTGCAAAATCTGGGGTTCTGCTTTTAGATCACCAGTTCAAATCCAGTCCATGTGGAGACTCATTTTTGCTGTCTGCTATCTTTTGTGCAAGACACAAAATGATGATTTAATTAAGTTCTTGGAGGCAGGTGCCCAGTTAAGGGTAATGGTCCATTTCAACTGACATTAAATCTCAGTTGTTTATAGCTTTTATTGGAAAGGCTAAAGATCTCAGATAAGGGTGCCTGCCCTGCCTTGTTTAAGGTGCTGACTTCGCACGCAGAAGCGCAGGCAGGACTCATACAGTCTCTACTCCCTGCTGCCTCCCTGGATCTGTAGCCTCATTGTGCAGGTGCCTGAGCAGGGAGAGCCATCGTAAATGACCAGCTGGGTCATGCTCCACCTTGTTGAATTTAAGTAGTGCTTAGTCCCAATGGTGAATCCTGAATAACTGCAGTTTCTCATCCCTGAAGCAGGTATGTAAGGGAGGGCAGGCAGGGAAGGGGGACAGCTAGGGGCACCAACAGGGTCAGCCATTGCTGTCTGGTCGGGCTGGCATGAGTCAAGTGGTCACCGAACTGGAGACACCTGAAATACTCTCTGGTTTTGTTCCTCTGGTTTGGCCCTGATGCATGTACCTGGCTGCTGTTTCGAGTACAGTGTCATGCATCTGCTGTGACTGCAAGCGTAATTTTGTTTCCAAAGGATGTGACATCTATGGGTCTGTCCAAGTTCAGTGGTTTTGAACCAGCCTCCCCCTGTAGCTGAGGCACAGCCAGTGAAGAGATCCTGTCTCTGGTTTCTGCCCTGTCCTTTCAATATGTTATTATCAGAATGAATCGGGATGGCAGAGACCCTTTGCTGAGCTTTTCTGAGCTAACCTGTGCCTTACAGCAGAAAATTGTGAGCTCCCACCAGCAGCTGCCCTTGAATCTTGGAGAGAGGGAGATTTCCCGGACAGCTGGGAGCAGCGGCAGGCAGGGGTCAGAGGGAGAGGCTCCTGCCCACGCCTGGAGGTTCCCGCTCCTCGGAGTGAGGAAGGACCTCGTGTGTGTGTGTGTGTGGGGTGGGGTGCAGTTTATAAGGTCTTGGGCCAGCAGGTCTATGTTTAATAGTTACTTAGAAGTGTGTCAGGCTGCAGCAGGTTGATAAGCATGGAAGCAGTCTGAGCTGAGCTTAACGAGGCTGGTGCGAATGGAAGGAATGTGCCCAGTCTCTTCAGGCCGCTTCTGCCTGCCTTCCTGCAGCCTTTCTGAAGGGCTGCGTGGTGAAAAAGCAGCGACCTGCAGGGTCCTTTTATAGCTCAGTGTAGAGCTTTGTATTTGTGCCTTGAGTGTTTCCTTCCCCCTTCCCATGAATGGATCTATAACATTGCATCTGTCAGCAGCCCTTTATAAAGGTATTTTCCCTTTTCACTCTTGTTTCTACTTGTTTTAGTAGCTAGAAAGATGGGAAAATATGTACTTGGACATGCACATGCTGTCCAAGTCCAAGAGAATAGCTGTCTAACTGCAAAAGTGAGTTCTCAAAACATAGTGCTGTACTAACTGCATGAAGAGTGAAATGTGAACTGTTACAACTGGGCAAATCACCAAAACTAGCTTTTCATTAGACTTCTTTCTTTATGCCACTGCTCCTTCAAAACAAAAACAAAAATTGAGATCTCACAGCTGTAAAGATCTTTTTAAAGGAACATCAAAGCAATTTTCTAGAAAGGGAACTAGAATCCAAATTTAATTAACACAACCACAGATGATGCTTTTTGCCTCTATTCCAGCAATAATGCTACTACATGGGATTTTCAAAACACTTTAACCTCTGTGGTGTGGAATGCAAATACCGAATAATCTTGCAGCTCAGCGAGCTGGGTAAGAATCACTATCCTTCCAGTAAAGTATAGTTCTTGCCCTTGATAAGCAAAGGATTTATGTACGTAAATCCTGACACCCCCAGCCCTACCACGTAAATTCCATCCTTCTAGGTAAGATTTTTCCTATATGTTTTATGTGATCAGGTTTAGACTGAGGTCTGTTCTTCAAAATGGATTTAATTTCAAGCTCGTCAGACATGAATGTTGATGGGAGAAGACTGGGAGCCTTTTTGAAATCCCTTCGCACTGTCAGATATCTCTTGTTTAACTTGTTAACTAGCTTGTTGAGGGAACAGTGAGCAGGAAAACTGTGTGCTAATTGTCAGCCCTGACCTCTTCACAGCTCTGCTGTTCTAAGTGAAGTAGTGGGTGCTGCAGCTTCCCAGCCACCCTGAGGACCGTATAGTGAAATGGGAGGCTTCTGCTGGGGACGATGAATTTTTCTAATATCCAGTTTTATATATCTAGCTATATAGCGTTATAGTTTATATAGTGTTTTGGCTTATCTTTAAACTTCCTGGTACTTTTGAACCTGTTGATCAATATCAACTTGTTTTTACAAGAATCTCTTTTTTATTTTTTTTATTATTATTATTTTTGGTGGCAGCAACTGAATAAAAGAATGAGATCTATACTGGTTACCTCTGAGTGAAGTAGTATAACCAGTCCCTCTATCTGTGCTGTGGTAGCTCCAAACTGGTCACAAAGGGTATTGCTTCTTGCCAACCTCATGAGAGGAAGTGGGGAGTACAGCAGCAGCTTGGGAAGGGAAATATGGTGAAGCCCGTTAGGCTGGGGAGGGACAGGCATAAGTCTGAAATATTCTCATTTATGAGCAGTGGAGCAGAGGTTTTAAAACATATGAACCAAGAAAAAATAGGTAATTAATATGTATAAATATTTTCACATAAGGAATAGCAGTACCTTCTGTAAACATATGCTTGGTTTTACTTTGGGCTAAACTTAATGTATAAAGAAGCCCTGAGTCTGATCCTAAGCAGAGCTGAGTGAATGATTCATGGAGTATCTGAGATGGCGGTTGATACAAGAACTGTACCCAGAGGGAAGAAAGACCAAAGAAACCAAACAAAATATAAATGCAAAGGGAAGAGTTGGTGGTTTTGGGCAGAGGTGAACACAGAAGGAGGGAGCAGAGATTGCAAACGTAATCAATGTTGCACAGCCTGGAAAGTTGGGAGTAAAACTTAGTACAGAATTGCCAAAATGAGAATGGATTGGATAAGGACTCCCTTGCCTGCTGCCTGATTAAATCTTTGCTTCTAAGTTAAATGTCACAAAGTCTTTACATGTTCAGTTCAATAGAACTAGGTATATTACTGCAGTATGTCATTTGTGTCAAAGTGTCATTTGCAAAATGCATCTAATTCTATAGCTTCTACATACAATCCTGTGTAACTAGTGATTGCTGCACTTACATAGTCATTTTTGTTGCTAGTAGGTCATCTTTCTCAGTGATTTTTTTTTTTAGCTAGAAAACATGATATACATAACTCTTCCTTGCCCCCCAAAATGGAGATAGGCCTGTGTCTAACTTTTCCTTCAAGTTAACAGCTGAGCAAATACTACTTCTAGTGTCAGACTGAGCACTTAAGGTTTTGGTTCTTATCAAAACTATTCACTAACTTTCCACCTGCGAAAGCAGGAGCGTGCAGTGTACGTGCATTGGTGGAGGTCGCCAAAAGCTGCCAGTGATGTGATCCTGGGTGTCTGGCCAGGGGTGCATTGTCAAGTGCAAAAAACTGAGTCTTTGCCTGACTTCCTGTTCCCAAGTGCCAGTTCCTAGGAATAAGGTAGAGCCTGGGGCAGGGAGGGCAGCGCGGCCCGTTTCTGAGGTATGCAGCGTGTGTGAACTGAAAGGGCTGGAAGAATTAAGTTGGTGGTATGAGTTGTGGGCAAGTGGAGCAATCTGCTTCTGCTCTGTTTCTTTGCTGCTGTGGAGGTAGCTCTGCACTTTCTCCCCCCAGAAAGGCTGTTTCCTTCCAGCTGCTGCTGCTTCCACAACAGCTGCTACTGCCCCGTTTTGTCCAGCGGAGACAGCACCATTCAGAAGATTGTAGCCTTCTTCAAAGCCAGAGTTTGGCACACAGAGCTGAGCAGAGACTGTTTGTGTCTGTGTTACTCTACACCTGCTCTTGCTCAGAATTCCTTTCTCACGTGCCTCTAAGCGATGGGGCAAGGAGTGTCTTTTATTTTTCTTCTCCTGCTTTATCTGTTTGTCTTTGCTCCTCAGGTTGTGCGATGAGGCAAAGGGAAATGAGGTTGTAAGCGGGTGGACGTTTATTCGGGAAATTTCCAAAACCAATACACATCAATTTCTGCCCATCCAGCTAGCCTGAGCCGTGCCCTAGCTAAAAAAGCTTCTGCTTCCAACAACCCTGCTGGAAAAGGGTATTCAGTTGCTGTAATGCAGCACCACAACCCATGTTTCACCAGGCACTGTTCTTCCAAATGTCTGGATGCCACCTAGCCTTTGGTCTCCTGCAATAGCATGTACTCGCATCGTTTGCTGGTGCTTCTCCAATGTGTGCACTGGGTTGGGGGTTACCTGAGGGGTAAAGATGCTGCAAGGTCTGAGTGTGGCATGGAAGTAGGCAAGAGCTCATAGGCCATACACAATGGCTTCTGAAAACTAGGGTTTAATTGCTCTGTGGCCAGATGTCAGTGTGGGACCAAATGGCTCCTTCTGCGTTACAGAGGAGCCTTCTCTGTACCCCACAAGTTTTCTGCTCAGTGTAGTTCTCCTGAATAAAAGGCATTTCTTCCCTCTCTCTCTCCACATCTGAAAGCATTTGTTTATGAAAGTAGTGCTTTCATTTTGTGGTTACAAACACGTGCTCTTTAAAGAGGACATTAAAAATAGCCTGGTAGGTTCTGCATGAAGTGCCCCAGCCTGATCTCTGCTCTACTTATACAGGATGCCAATAGATAGGAAGCCTTAAGTTCAAATCTTACTGAGCCAAGCCATGTTGCAATGTAAAGGAGGGAGAATAACACTTTAATAATTCTTCTGTGATAGTAATAATACTGAAAACATAGCTCGTTCTGTATGTGTTTGTTATTGTTGTTTGTTTGTGTGGGTTTTTTTTTGTTTGTTTGTTTTTAATTTGGTAGCCAAAGAATCAATACATGGAGGGAGAATTGTTCCATCCAGGTGTGTGAGCCCTCTGTAATGTTGGATTGGTTGTTTCTTTCAGGTCAAAGCCACTGGACAGGAGCTCTTTCAGCAAGTTTGTGACTTAGTGAAGATTAAAGAGCCTCACTTCTTTGGCCTCAGCATTGTTAAAAGTAAGCAAACTCAATGCACAGAGCAAATGACTTGGCAAACTTCCACGGACCCGCTTGTGTATTTACAGTGTGTGCATATATACACACTGGCCATGCCTGCGGGGAATTTGATTGTAATAAGGTCACAGAGTATGTAGATTATGCACAGCCTTCTTGGAGCTCCTTTGATCTTTGCTATGTGGGCAGGCGTGTTGGGAAAGGGGGGCTTTTTGTTCTCCTCCTTTGTTACTGTATTCTGCCTCTTTGTGGGGTACTCTCTCTGCTGTAGCTAAGTGGCTAGCCAATGTATTTGTCACTTTGAATTCAAAACTGCCAGTAGCTGAACAGGAAGAAAAATTTTAAAGGATTGGAGGCTTAATGTGTTACTTCTAAAGTCGTAAGTAAAGAACACAGCACTGGGGAGTGGAATCTGAAATGACTTGAGGGTACTGAAGTTGAGGAGGGGGACACAGTGTTTTGAAATACTACATGGGAAATTCAGAACTTAAGTCCGTGGGTCGAAGTCCAGTCTGCCTGGTGCTTTGCCTTAGTATTGACCAAGGGGCAGTGTAAAATGATGTTTTTAAGGAGGGAGCAAATCAGTGTGACATACTAATGTTCTTAGAAAAGAGGGAGTTGAGTATAAACATGAGTGGGTGGATGAGTGCACTTGTGTGGTGGCACCTCTCTGCCCATTCTTAGTAATTGGATGCTGATGTATTGTCCTTTATTCTCCTTTCCTCCTTTTCCAGTATTTACTACTGCAAATTTAAATACTGATGTCATTGAGATGAGAAGACCCTTTTATTCTCAAGCCCTTCTAAATAAGGTTTCTTTTGCATCCTTACAAATTTTGTGTAAGGGTGGGGGGAGAAATTAAAATAGCAGCAAAAATGTGCAAATTGCAGTGCTGTGAGATCTGAACTATAGATCCTGAGGCAGCTCTTCTAGCAAAGATTGCTTAAAGGCTAAAAGAATTTGAGGCTTTCCTTCACTGCTGATTGTTACCAATGTGGAGGGTGAGCGTCAGGATTTTACATAACAGGAAAGGTGAGAGGACAGAATTTTTCACCTCCAACTTTTTCTTTGTCAAAATGAAAAGCACCTCAGCCAACAGTATCAGAGGAGAGCTCGCATTTGTAAGAGGAATCTAATCGCTTTGCAAATTAAGCAAATTAAGGAGTGTACATTAGTGGGAAGCCACACTGGCATGAAGCTCAAGATGTGTTGCTCTTCTGGTTTTGTCACAGATCATCAAGCAGGCTATGCTGTGTGTTCTGTTACTACTTAAAAGCATTTTTGCTTGTACTTTGCTCAGTGAAAAGACCCTGTGACCCTCCCAGGTTGAACCTGGCTCCATGGGCTTCAGCAGCTGGGTCTTGTATTGTGGCTTCTCCTGCAGGGTCAGTCTTATCTGTGCCCTGCAGGAGCTTTCCCTCTTGTTATCAGAAAGTGCGTGCAGTGACATAATTCAGTCTTCTGAAGCAAAACTGATTGTCAGCAGACAAAAAACAGCCAGGTCTCCTTTGTTATTGTAACCTGGATTCCTGCGATCCTGAATTTTGAGCTTCTCCTTTCTTGGGGAAAATCCGGCTCAACCCAAACAGATGGAAGCCCTAGACTGGGAGGGAGCAAGCTGGCAGCTCCTGCGCTCCACCACTCTGTCTTCTTGTGTCCTCTTACCAATTTTGTAGGCTGGCTTTCTGATACAACCAGACGCCTTTGCTTCAGCTCCTCTGCTCGAAGGATCCCCCTTCTGTTACTTCAGCTCTGGCTGTTCACTTTGCCAGGCCCATGGAGACATGTCTGCAAGTCTGCTTACATGTGTGCCTGGCAGAGCTTGGTGGCTGGCTGTACCAAGACCACTGTGTTTGCAATTAACTCTTCTGTGGTTCATAGCCTCTAGTACTGATGTTCATGGGTAGAACATGCAAGCCATTATTTTTATTTTGTAGGTATCTATCTTGCCACACTGTCTTTTAAGGCAGATGACAACAGAATTTCTCCTGTAATAGCCTCATATGGTTTGTAAATCCTTCTTCGTTATCTCTACTGGCACCAACTCTTTCTCCCTAATAGCCTCATATGGTTTGTAAATCTCAGTCCTTCTTCGCTATCTCTACTGGCACCAACTCTTTCTCCTCCCTCCAAATATCTGCTTGGATAGCTGTATCTCCTTTGTGAAGAAGTGTCCATATGCTAGACCCTGTTACAATGATTTGGTTACCCCCAACAAGTGTAAAATGCAATATAAGGAAAATGTGTACAGACACACATCAGCTAGAGAGAATTGCAGGGATTCAGGTGTTCAAAAAATGCATTAATTCTTTGTAGCAGTACTTGCATGATCATTCCTAGAAGGGCATTTTTTCCTGTATCTGGTGTGGATTATTTCTCCATCAGTATCAGTCCAGCATCCATCCAGGTGCTCTGAGGACCATGAGGGGTTCATTTGCTCCTGCCTGAGCAGTGGTGGGGATGGTTCTGCAGCTTTTCTTGCGCAGAAGAATCCCATTTTTCCATTGTCAGAGACCCAGAGAGTTTTGCCTGGGCATGCTGTGTTGCCAGCTGCAAGATAACAACATAATATTTATAAAGGTCTACTCATTCCTGAAGATTTTTTACCATCTTCAGACTGTGAGAGTTCATAATAGCTGCACTGCCTTAAATTTTCTGTTACCTCCTTTCATTCTTTTCTCCATATACCTTCTGTCCACCCCAGTTGAACTATGTCAGGCACCTTCTTCACCTCATTCGTTGCTGTTGAGCATCAGGTAGTCCTGCAGAGGTGGTAGGAGCAGACTCCACGCACGTCACCAGCATGTGGAAGCTCAGGGATCTCCACTTGCAAAAGGAGCACAGAGCCCACTTTGTTCTATAAACAAAAATAAACCTGCTGGCATTCAAGAGAGTTAAACAGGTGAAGTCTGTGATAGGTGCTGTGAGGTACTTTTGCCTCACAGCCTTTTGCCTGTTTTTTACTTCAGCTCTCTCCTAATGCCACCATCCTTCTCTTCTGGTCATGCTGTCTTTCCTTTTCTCTGGGATGGATGTTCTTGGAACAGTGGCATCATCTCCTCTCGGCAAGCAGCAGTGATGGTGCTCTTGAGGTTTTTCAGCATCAGGGAGAAATTAGGTGCTATCGCCAGCGACAATATTTTCCTTCTATTTAAAGCAGTAAATGCATGCTATGTAGACATATGGCTTTGCACTGATTCATGTTTTATTTAAGTTCTAATTTCCTAGGCTGTCTGAATAGTTGTAATATTAAAATATACTTGACTCAACCGAGTGAGTTAATAGGATGTTCATGGCTGCCAACTGGGACAGAGTTTTCCCTTGTGGTAGGAGTAGTGTATAACTTAGCTCCGTGCAATTCCTTAGCACTCGTAGCCCAAAATGGGCACATGAAGGAAGCAGATCACTGGAATTCCCTGTTGCTTAGTGGTTCTGCAAGAGCTAGTCTTTCATAAAGACAAAATGGAGAGGCACTGCTTAATATAAAGGCTTTTAAAGTAACAATGACTTGCAGCTTATTTGACCATCTATTGCAACCAGTGTTTTCCATTCCTGTATTCCCTACATTGTAAATAATGCCCATAGCAAATTTACATAACTCATTGGAACTGTGCTATTTTATTCTGATTGGAGATACCTCCCCTTATTTTTTGCAGCAGTGCACATTCTGCATTTGCTTAAGCACGTAAATGTGCTAAGTTGATTTTATAGAGTAGAAGTCCTTGAATATTCGCATTTGTGTTGACTGCTTAAGTTGGAATGAGACTTTTACATTGCACCCTTTGCAATTTGTCTAGGGAATCTTACTAGCAGCAAAGCAATTTTTGCATTTCTCAAATGCGCTGGCTATAGAGGTGGGTTTCTTGGGAGTGCAGTGCGTGGGGTGTTAACGCCGGGTCTATTACCTGCACACACACTCAGGAGGGAGCCCTTCAGGAGAGGTGGGTGTGATGCATTTGCAAGCTTGCTGCCAATTCTGAGACGAGATCTGCGTATGAAGTGTGCAGTAGGTCTTGTGGACATATTTGCATGTACATGTGCTTTGAAGCCAGCTTCTGCTTTGGTCATTCAGCTGAGACCAGAGGTCCTGTGGCAGTTCATACCTGCTGAGTATCTGGACCTGTTTGGATCTGCAGGTTAGACACCTTCTTCCCTATAAAATAGTGACCGTCCGTGCATTTCTATATAGGTCTTTACATTGCTGTTTTGGGGTGCTACAATTCAGTGCCTTCATCTCTGGTAAAGAGAAAAATGCTTTCAAATTAGAGAATCTCAGCATCAGACAAAGATCTCTAAGAGTCGCCACTAATCCAGTTTAAAGAAAACAAAACAAACATACCCACCCACAACCTACTTCCCACATATTGCTGAGGAGGGAAATACCTCTCTGTTTTTGTAGATTGCGGCTTACACGGCAGGCTGGCATTCCCGCAATATTAACTTCATTAGAGAAGGAATGCAGCAGAACATTCTTGCGCTGAAGGGAGGATGGGGCAGGACGCTGGTCTGCGCTGAGGGAGGAGCAGGGCCCCCAGGGAGAGCTGGTGCATGAGGACGGGCTCCTACTGCTGCCTGGCATCCGTGTGGTGGTGATGGGCACCTCAGTCACCGTGCGCGTGACCTCACCTTCATGTTTGGCATCTAAGCCTTCCCAAGGTCGCCTTTCCAACTGAATTGATACGCACAGAAATTAATAGGGGCTGTGGAGTGTGGGCAGTTAATCTCTTTGCTACTCTGGAACTTGTTTGTTGTCTGTTTTACCTCTCCTATCCTAGTATGTGTGTTAACAGGATGACTTGGAGAATATCACCAAGCGTGCAGTCACCGTCTTTCCTCGCAACCTTCCCTAAGTGCCTCTGGCCAAGGGATTCTTCCTGAGCAACAAGGGAACATAACCCTGCTAACCTGTTGCAAAGGTGAAGGTTTCCTACCCTCTTCACAAGATCATATAGAGCTGTAGTATCGACAGAGCCTGTGTGAGACTTCAACCATATCCGACCCAGTCGGAAAGGCCTCTGTGCAGCAGTAACTGGCCATGAGGAGCAGTGAAGGTCTGACTGCAGCAGCCTGTTACAGAGTGAGCACCTTGACCTGGGACTGCTGAGTCCACAAAGGGACCTGTCGTGCTTGTATTGTCCCAGTCTTGTTGATAGCAGCGCAGCTGTTTCCCAAAACACACCTTTATTTACTTCTTAGGAAAAGCTTTGTAGAGAGACACTTGTCATCTTAGAACAAGGGACAAGGACAAGTCTGAGGGAGGTGCCAAACCTGTTCATCTCCCTGGCCAGGTATTCTAGAATACTTTCCAAAGTAGCATTTTCTGATCTTCATGGACTTAAATAAGTAAAGGTGGCTGATAACTGCATATCCCTGCCTGGCACACACAAGTGGGGAGGGAAATGCAAGACGCAGTCTATCTGCGAAGCTGGAACCTCTGCCTCTCTCCTTGTCTAAATAGCAAAGCAACCTCTGTATCTCATTGTGTGCCACCCACTTTCACTCCCCTCACTAAAATTCAGGGCTTCTGTCCAATATTTTCAACAGTGCTGTTAAATACTGTTCTGTATTACATACCTGTGAGGTGTCAAACAAAGCAGCAAGTAGAAATGTAATTGTATTAATGTTACAACTTTGATTAGTGCACTGCAAGAAAGACCATAAATAAGTTTTCTTTTTTTTTTTTTTTTTTGAGGTGGGGGAGGGTCACTGTGTCCTCTTTACCACTATTTTCCACAAGGCTTTGTGTTGTTATGGTGCATGGAACAATTCTGGCTAGCACCAGGTTTGATTTCTGTTACCTGAGGGGGAAGGATTGGAAGTGATGTGTGGGGGGTTGTTCGGCTAGTATGTTTGTTTTGTAAAAGCTTACCTAAAATAAGTTTTTTTTTTGCCATGTTTGCACCTGTAAGGAGCTTTGATGTTTAGAGAAGATGACTTTGATGTGACACAGCACACTTGAATATCTCTTCTAATGCTAGCCCACGCCAGTCCTTCATGCGCATTAGAAACACAAGTGTAAACTTTCACTCATTTGTACTTTACAGTAGGAAAGTTCCACTTCTCTCATTCTAGCTCATCTCTGTGAGTTTGGTGCAGCTGGGCTTCCTTTCATGCTATCCAAACCAATGTTCGTGCTGCAGCCCAAGTCCCCACTCTTTTTTGCCTTCTCTGGTCTGCAGTTCAGCTTTTGTTTCAGAATGCATTGTTTGCAAACAGCAGGTATGTTCTAAGTACTTTATGAATAAGAATTTTTAATATTAAATGCTTTTCCCTCCTGTCTTTCAGATAATGAATATGTTTTTATAGACCTGGAGCAGAAGCTTAGTAAATACTTTTCAAAGGAATGGAAGAAAGAGATGAGCAAAGTAAGACAGATGTTTAATTTCAGAACATACTGCTTTGGTTTTGGTTTGTTCAATAAAGTGGAAGCTTTTAAAATAAGATCCATAAAGTGTTTCTTGAATGTGGCTGCAGAATGTTCTTTAGTAGCAAGGTTACTTGACTTGCTGGGCATGGCTAATACACTAAGTTACAAGTAGCTAAAATAGCATCTTCTATAATTTTACTTAGACAGTAATAGTTACGTGGTTGTTGCTTAATTACTGCAGCAGAGGAGAAGGTCAGTCAGTCTTCCATTTGAAGGAAGCCCAAATGGAGCCCAAATGAATGAAGCCCAAAAGGCAAAATGATCTTTTGTGACGTGAACCATCCTACTAGACATGAGGGAGGGGCCTGGCTTTCTTTTAGCAAACATCTTAAACATGAAACAGGCATCAATGTCTCCTTTCAGTTTGTGGCTGTAGGAAACTGTGAATAACTAAACAGTAGCACTGCCAAAAAAAAAAAAAGACAAATAGTATCACGCTGGTACACCTCAGCCTCTGACAGTGAAGGCGGCATGTGTTACCCTTGCAGCAGTGCGTGAGTCCCTTGTTGTATAATGTGGTTATATGATTTCTGAGCAAAACAGTAGTGTGTTCTGGAAATGGTACAGCAGTGCAAATGTGGTGTGCTGCCTGAACTTCTTTGCCTGATGCTTTCAGGAAGGTTACATTAAACTTGCTGTGTTCAGCATTAATGTGCCTCCAGAGTGACCAGGTGCCGAGCTAAGTAATATTGAGCTAAGCTGGGCATCCCCAGACTATACTGAGGCTCCTTTTTATCTACTCGTCCTCCCAGTTCAATTCTCCTGCTCTCCATAGGATGTTTTGCCACTCAACCTATCTGTGTGTTTTGTGGTGCTTCATTGATGGGAGATGATCAGATCCCCCTAAACCCTGCACAAGAGCTAAGCATGGAGAATGAAAATAATACAGGGAATGAGCATGGGAAGGGGAATGTTACAAGAAGATAATAAGAAGGTGCTGATTTGTTTTGTTTTGTTTTTTTAATATGTCTTCTGCCTCTCCTCTAGGGAACAGAGAAATTTAGCCCACCTTTTGTGGCATTCTTCAGAGTGCAATACTATGTTGAAAATGGAAGGGTGATAAGGTAAGTTCCTTTCTGCAGTTGTTACCTGTGTTCTAAATTAGTCATTGTGTTCCTAAAAGCAGGAAAAATCATGTTTATTTTGGTGAGCTCATCTCTCTGTTTGTGAGGACCCAAAAAGTTTATGTACGCTTGGCCAGATGGTTTTGCCAGTACATTCTTTGGGAAAAATAATAAAACAGGAGTCAAATCATGTCTCTTTTAACTAGTTATTTAGGGTTTTATTTTCTTTGCAGCACATCGTCATTGTTTTGAACCTGCCTTTTTTTTTTTTTTTTTTTTTTTTTTTAATTTTACATCTAAGTAACTTGAAAGTTGCAGTTACTGGATATTTTGGGTTTGGCAGACAGAAATTTCATGTTTGTTGTATCTCTACTTACTCTTTTTGTATTTGATTCTAGCTGTTGCTTCCCCGGGCTCCCAAAATGAATATTGCAGCTTGATTTCTTTAGGGTCATCTCAGATGATCTCACTGCAGCCAGGAGTCTCCTTGTTATTCCTAGGAGAATTCTGAACACTTTCTTACCTGTGTCTAGAGAACAAGTTGAATGGTGACAGTATTGAAATATCATTAACAATCTTTTGGTTACACCTACAGTGTGACAAACATGAAATAAATATACAAAAAAAAAGTTACCTGTGCTCTAGAACACTTTATAATCTTTTTGGTTCTTTCTTTTGTATCTGAGCAGTTCTGTGGGGCTTGCTCCTCAAAATGAATGACCTTTCGGAAGCGGACAAAAGAAAGGATTTCATAAGTTAGGATTTTGCATGCAAGAGGGGTCCGTTCACATGAATATGAAGTGCACTTCGAACACAATCCCTCTTTCCGCACCATGCAGAGCGAACGATGAGTTAAAGTGAACACCTGACAGACTTTGTTTGCATCTGAGCTACTGGTGTAACTGTGACCCCGGAATAGGCTAAGAACTGAAAGCATTCAGCTGGATTAAAATAAAGCATAATTTTTATTTATTATTTTGGCATTTGTCATTATCTAGAACAAAATTTATTGTTTTTTTTTGCATTTTTTTTCTTTCCCTCCGTGGTCTGTTTCTTGGATGTAGGGGAGTTTTCTGGAGTCTGTTTTTGTTAGGTGTTTTTTGTTTAGTTTAGCCTTTCAATACAAAGACAGCAAAGCCAGGCATTCTGCACCCCCTTGTACTCATTTGCCCATGCAATTTAATTGGAGAGGTTTCTGAAGCTGTACACATTTAGGTACGGCTAAATGCTTCAAACTTCATATACACACCAGTGCAAGAGGTTTTGGTGTGCAGCATTTCATCTATACAATGCTGTTGGTGCCCTGCTTCCCTTGTGGGAATGGGGCTTGTGTGCCTTAGTAATGGCAGGCACTAGTTAAAGTTATTAAGCTATCCCTGGTTAGAGGCTTGAGGAAAGTGACAAAACCCTAAGGCTCCTGTCTCTTTTGATCTACCTTGCAGGAACTAGCAGCTGAAAAGCACCTTGAGCCTAAGGCAAGGTGAAGTGTAAAAGCAGTGCCAGCTTTAGAGGGGAAAGAAAGGCAGGTGTGTAAGAAGCAAGACGGATTCAAAGTGGTTGATTCTCCTGACAGTGCTACAGGCTTTCCAGAAAAAAACAAAGTGTCTGATAGTAGTCAGGAACAGGTGTGATATGATTATCTTTCATCTACCCTCTGCCTTAACTACTTAGATCTTTTACTCCTTCAGACAGAGGTTATCATGTCTGTTCAGAGTCTGGAATGAGAATGCATTGATCTTGGCTTGGGACTCTCTAAACATGCCTAATGGTATCATGGTGACAATAGCACACATCAGGAGATCAAAGTTTAATTACTTCTCTTGCATGAATTTGAGAGACCTTTTCTGAGCCTGACCTTCTTTTTCACCTTGCTCAAGGAAACCTGTTTTTGTATCTTGCAGTGACAAGGTGGCAAGGCAACTCTACTACTGCCATCTCAAGGAGCAGGTGCTGAGGTCTCGGTGCAACCACAAAGAAGAGATCTACTTCCTACTGGCTGCCTACAGCTTACAGGCAGACTTGGGCAACTACAAGGAGGAAGTCCATGCTGGCAAATATTTTGAACCTCAGGCTTATTTCCCACAATGGGTAAGTTTGAGAGGAATCTCTCTGTCAGTAGTTACTGTAGACAGCCGGACCTATGGAAAGGTGATACCAATTGTGGCCATGCAACCTCCCTGGGCTCCTGTCGCAAAGGATGAGCAGAGCTTTGCCTTGATTCTCTAAAGCTGCATCCCTGTCTCTCTTCACTGAATGGAGCTGCCCAGTCCTCCTGGGTTCCTCCTGAGGGAGGTGGATAATACATGTTCTTCCTCAGAAAGGAAATGTGTTGGTGTCGAATGACTCTAACAGCATAGCTGTTCTTGTTTAAATCTGTGTGACTTAAAAAGTTGTGTGTTTGTGGTAGTGTATCAGAAAGATTTGCACAGCCTGAGATCTTTAGAAATTCTCAGGGGGGTAGTACTGCCTTACAGTGTCTTTGGTGCTTGCTTTGCCATTCATCTAGGGCCCTGTTGTAGAAAGATAATATCCTGGAAATATCTTTTTTTCGTGTTTGTTTATAATCATGTGCATGTTGGTGTGTGCCCCCCAAAAGCAGGGAACAGTTTAGTAGGCCAAGAGTTGGTTTAGTCACTGAAGCAGGGCAAATTAACTGTGAATCAGAAGCTTAAAAAAGTAGTCTCTGAGAACTTCAACTTCACTACAAGACTGTTCTTGTAGTGCAAAGGCTAAGAAAACTTTCTATAAGCACTTCAGTGACCATGAAAATAGAGAGGGAAACCAGGTTTGTTACGGACAGTGGATCAGTAGTCACCCCTCAATGTCATCTGCTGGTGAAGCATATTTCACAGGAACCAGAGACACTGTCCTTCCACCCAGCTTAGTATTTGAGCTCCTCTCTCTGCTCAGAGAGCTGGTGTTAGTGCAGCTGGGACCTTGGGATAGCTGCCAAAAAGCCTGGATTCTCTGGTGATTGGATCCATGCCCCTGCAAGTCTCCGCTGCAAGGTGGTTCGGGGAGAAAGTTCAGAGCAGTAGGTGGATTGTGTCAGGGAAGGAAGGCTGGCACAGACGCTTACATGACTCCTAGCCTGCCTGCTTTGCCATGCAGAAATGCTCTTTTCTCTCACACACCAGACCATCTCATGCCTTTCTTAGCTGTCGAGTGCCTGGCATTAGGTAGCTTACAAAGGTCTGGAAAAGATGGGTGTGATGTGTACTGTTTATGGGGCAGTTAGAAATCTTATCACAGAGCCTTGCTCATCTGGCAAATATTGCAAATGCTGAGGCAGAGCCAAGCTCACCTGCACTCAGCCACAGCCCTAAGCAAATATGTGGGTGATTTGTCTTCACAAAGAGCAGAATCTGGCAGTAATGGGGACGCTTCTCTCCCTGCCCCCAGGCTGCAGTGGGGAGACAGTGCGTGATCTCCACGACACCAACATGTGCTTGAGATCATCTAGCCAAGGGCTGCCGCAAGCCTTGTGCCAGGGAGGAGAGACGGTGCCGCTCGGCTTGGAGCTGTGGAGCTGGTGCTTCCCTTTGTGCTCGCGTTGCGCAGCTGATTGCGTCAACATCGCCCTTGACAGAGCCCAGCCTTCCTTGTGGGAGGACGACTGGCCATGGGAGCTGGTGTGCAGGGAAGGGCAGGGATGTTACAGGATTGATTAAGTGGGGGGCTTAAGTTAATAGAAGTGGAAACTGATTGATGAGGTTTTGATATTTCAAGCTAGGAGAGACTGCTCTTGGCAGGATGTTCTAGGATACCTGATGGGGTTTAGTTTATGAATAGAAGTATTCATAAATAGTTTATGTTCAAAATAGTTAATGAATGGAAACCAGCCAAAATGCCACTTGTTTCTCACTGCTGCTTCCAGCCTAGAAGGCACCTCTCTGGTGCAGGAGGAGTCTGGGCTGCACTGTAGTGTTGTAAAGAGACCACACACAGCCAGGTGTGGGTGCTCACAGGATAAGAGTTAAAGGTCCAGTGCAGGATTTCTTGCTGCTTAGGGAAGTCATGTGTCTGTCAACTGTATCAGATGGGTATGAAATATCTTGAGGTAGTGTTTTTGTCCCCTTTGAGGATGGGAATGCTAAGTAAGCCTAATGTTCTTCTGGTCTTAAAAATAAAGCCCTAACCAGCTTGCATTGCTATAGCATTTGGAGATGTTGCTGCTGATCATGTTGGCATCCAGAGTATGATCTTTTTATCTTCCCATAAGCCTTAAAGCTTAAGAATAAAAAGAGTGGACACAATCCCTATAGCCTCAGTCTGTTATGGTTTTGCCATCCAGGAGTCTGCCTGGAGACATCGGTATCATCTGGGTTGCTTCAAATGCTTTTTCCGCAGGGAAGTAGGGGAGAACTTGAACTAACTTCTTGAGAGAAGATATGAACCTCCTCCAGCTCCAGTCTAGCCCTTACTGTTGATCACAGCTACCTCCCATGGGGATTACCGAAGAGTTGCTGACTTGTCTGTTTCCCTTGTGGTTTAGATAATTGCAAAGAGGGGGAGTGACTACATCTTGAAACATGCCCCTGAGATGCACCGAGAACAGCAAGGCCTGACTGCCAAGGAAGCAGTGCTGAAGTTCATTAAGGAATCCTGCTTGTTGGAAGATGTGCCTGTCCACTTCTACAGACTGCAGAAGGTTAACAAAAAATATGTTTCCTATCTTAAACTTTTCTCACTCTTTTAAATGGGTGCACTTTTGTATTTTTCACTTTGTTTGAGAGATTGTTGCCACTGGTACTGAAAGACCCTAAAATTTTCAGCCTTTTCTTACTCAAGCTTGCTTAATGCACTTTATGTGCTAAGCGAGTTTAGGTCGAGAAATGGGACTAAAGAGGTTTTTTTCTGTTTTGCTTAGGTGAGTGAAACCTGCTCATGCAATTAGGATTTGCATGGAACTTTTTCCAAAAGGAAGGAGTCCACTTTGTCAGTTAGGCTCCTCAGCAGTTCCTACTTGGTCAGTGTTATGCCTGGGAGATGTATGTGTCCTTGGACCAGATCTCAAAACTCTGCTTACTACAGAAGTACAGAGAAAGAAGGTCTCATGTCCTCTGGAGGAAATAAGTTCCAGTTTGGTCTCTAATCCAATCTTAGTTTAAATTCCTCACAAACCATAACTTCCCGTCCTTTGCTTTGATACTAATGCTATTAATGATGCAGTCATAAGAGAGTGTTCACTTGAAGGCCAAAAGAAATTCAGCTGGCAGGACATGATACAATTTATGTCTGAAGGCACTAAGGGCGTGAAATTGGTTGCCCTTAATACCCAGATTCTTGACTTGAACTTATTTTATGCGTTGCTAACTCCTTTGTGTGTTTAATTCACAATATACTCTTCTACCTGCTATTTAGCATGCAGGAATCTCATGGCTAGATCTGTTTCTCCTAGGTCATACCTGGGTCACAGAGCTACTGATCAAATGCACAGAGGTGCTGGGGTGAAGGCTTGAGTGCCACTGCTTTGACTGACCTAAGATTTCAGGAGCTGTCACCTTGTTTCAAGACATTGATATGTCTTCTGTAGTTGTGAACTCTGAGGGGGACTGACTGCCATAAGCCCTGCATTTTTCCTCCAGACCAAGTGTTGTATTATGAACACTCTTTGCCTTTAGAAGACAGAAACCATTTCTTAGTCACTTTAAAATGGGCTTCTGCTGAATATAGGTAATAACCACAGGTAGTAAGAGCAGGAAGAAGGTGAGATAAATATGATGCCTTGACAAGACAGATAAGGAGAGAAAATTCCACTGCAGAGTTTGATGCCTTTGACTTACTCCTCCAAAGCTTACTCCTCAGTAATCTTCTTCCTCCTTTTACTCCTGTCATGACAGGAGAAATGAACTAGTTTGGGTTTTCTCTTTTTTGCTGTTTTCATTCTATTTTCTTTATTTTATTTTGTGGGGATGGGGAGAGAGAGGTCTTCAAGCAAAACAGTGTCCTTATCAGGGAGCAATTATGTTATATCAAGGTACAGAATGAGGGGAAAAAAAGTCAGTATCCTGGCTAAGCCTGGAATATTTAAAATCATTGACTGCCTCCAGTGAGATCAAAAGGTTAAAAAGAAGGTCCCTGTAACTGCAGGCATTGATTAGTGCCCTCCTGCCCAGTGAACATGTGTGGTGCAGCAAGTATCTGGATGAGATCAGGTGTGCTATGGCAAGGGGACAGAGATCCTTCTATTTTGGGCTCTCTATCACCTGGAGAACCATCAGTGCTCATGGCGATAGCAGCACATGGCCATAAGACAGAATGTGTTACAAATTATCTTTGAGCAGTAACTGTCCATGCATTCAAATGACTGAAGCTGCAGGATTCCCTGTAGCAGTGACTCCAGGGCAGTCTGGAGTGTCACATGTTTCCTGTTGGTGAAATGAAATGAAATACCCACAACATGGGGGCGTTCTTGGGTGTTTCTCGTTGCAGAGATTTTTTTTTTCAAGGCCAAAAAGACAATATGCTTTTTAGAAGCATAATGAAAAGGCAGGATGAAATGTTGATGACATTTGCCTGGTAAGCAGTCCTGCTACCTCTCTTGCAGTAGGTGCCAGAGCAGGAGTGTGGTCTTTGTAGATTAACCTTTGACTCCAGGCTCTTCTGTTCTCTTAGGATAAGAAGGAGGACCGCCCGACAGTTATCCTGGGCCTGACCCTTAGAGGAATGCACATCTATCAGGTAACAGGCTGCCCTGAAAGCCTCTGTGCAGCCCTCCTGCGCTCCCCCCGCCACAGCTCCTCTGTCTGTGTGCGTCAGGCTCCACATATCTCACGTTCCCAAGTGTCTGCAAATTCCTTGCACATCACTGGCTCCACCCTGTAGCTGTCAATCCCTGTGTCACTCCGAGTTTGATGTGTTGCAGGAGGTGAATCACGTTCGTCAGCTCCTCTATGACTTTCCCTGGTCACACATTGGGAAGTTGGCGTTTCTGGTGAGTATGACAGAATGTAGGCCATATGGTCCTGGTTGATCAACCTGGGTCCTGGCAAGGCTGCTGACCTCCCCAAATTGCCTTGTCAAGTTCTCTTGCTAGTGTGCACGAGATTGCAGTTATCTCTGTTAGTTACGTGACTGATGACCTGTTCTTGTTCACTGCTCTGGTATCTCTACTCTTTCTGCAGGGGAAAAAATTTGAGATCCAGCCAGATGGTTTGCCCTCTGCACGGAAGTTGGTTTACTACACAGGTTGCCCCTTCAGGTCACGGCACTTGCTGCAGCTCCTCAGCAACAGCCACCGGCTTTTTCTGAATATCCAGCCAGTGTTGAAGCAAATCCAAAAACTGGAGGAGGCTGAAGGTATGTGACAGGAGAGCAGTCGATAAGAGCAGAAGTATGGCATTTTAGTCTTTCTGCTGTGGCCTCACAGAGGCTGCTCTCTAATTGATGTTATTTCCACCCTAACAGAAGACAGTGAGTGAGAAGAGTAGAAGTCTGAGATTGGTCTTTGGTTTAGTTTCTCCCTTTAAGAGGAATTCTCTGCTCTCTGGGCTGTCAAATTTTTGCAGATTTGACACATGCCTCTGAGATAAAGTAATCTTGAATAAAAAGCTTTCAGCTGAGATAAGATCTTCCTTTGTTCAAGGAGTGGTGCAAGTTGTGAGCTTGTGTCTTTTTGCGTGCTCCTTTACTAAACAGTGTCTGCAGTTTAGTCTGTAATGTCTACCAGTTAGGTGCCAGAAGCAATCAGAGAGCAGATAAGGGCTCCCATAACTTATCTTTTCCGATGGGGTCCCCTCTGTAGCGTTGGCGTGTGAACTTTGAGAGTCTCTGGTATCCTTCTAGGGAGACTTCGATCATTTCATCCCCTCCCTGCCTGTTTCTTTCCCTTTCTCTCCTCTGTGGGACCCTGCCTCTTGTATAAACTTCTCAGCTTGCCTTTCCCCTATCCCTGTTTCCAGACACATTGTGTAGGCCCTCTCTTGGAGGATTTCTGCCCTTTTTTTGTGACCTTCTTCTGACTGCTATGTGCACCAGTTTTTTTGGCTGTGCTTCCCGACATTCTCCATTAATGTGTTCTCCATCTTCTGGGCTTGTAAGACTTTTATCTGTAGCTGTAAGTCCACCAGGAAGTAGAAATCAGTAGAAGCCAGCCAGTAGTAATTCCTCTTGTATGAGAATGCAACGAGAAGTCAGGAGGAAAGCCAGGCTTCACCCTCAGCAGACCAGCCCGGGAGGAAGTGATCAGTGAGTGCCAGCGAGGCAGCCCCCACACAGCAAGGGGGATCCTCTTCTTGACTGTCTCTGTCGCACTCTGTCTGCCACAGTTGGTGGCTGTTTTGAGGAATGGTCAGCGTACTCTGTTTTAAACACTGAGAACTTAGGTTATTCAGTTAACTCGTGTCTTTTGCTTTATTCTGTAAGCTAATATTTTCTGTACCATAACTGTCTATACCTGCCTGTTCTAGTTCATGAGACACTGGACTTACTGTATCTATGCAGACTGTAATTCTGTTATATCCAGCTGAACATCCACGTATCTAAGCAAACAGAATGGAAAACTTCTCGTCTTTGTTCAGTAGCTCCTAACTACCAAGTTTTGCCAGTCTGAGAGCTTACTAAGTATTTTTTGCTACCATTCCTTCTGTCTTGCTTAGCTTCCCTTGGTTTCTCATGTCTTTCTTAGAGAAGAAGCGCTATCGGGAGTCCTACATCAGTGACACGTTAGACATGGACCTGGACCCATCTGACAAGAACTCACGTGGCAGCGGGAGCAGCGGAGGGAGCCAGAGGAACAACCGTCTCTCACGGCAGTCCACAGGAAGTCACGGCAGCTCTCACACATCTGGCATTGAGGCTGACTCAAGGCACCGGGTATCTGTGGAAATGTCAGTGGATGAGCCCTTCAGCATTGATAGGATACACAGGAAAGAAAAATCCTGCAGCTCAACCGTCAGCTACGGTAGCTCTGGCATTGACAGTGGCAGCAAAGGGAGGGCTGAAGATGACTCTCAAGATGATGGTAAGGCATTTGGAGGTGTAGTACAACTTTTAAGTGTGTTGCTGTCTTCTCCTACAGGATCATGGGGAGTAAGAGAATGTGAAGCACCTTAGAGCAGAAGTGTCATGCTAATCCTTCTCCTGTGACTCTTTCCTGCTAGAGCTTGAGCTGGCAGTAGATGAGCCTGAGGAGGTGCCTGTAGATGAGCCTTTAGAGGGAGACCAGTTAGAGGAGGCCACTGTGGGAGAATCTGTTGGTTCCCTTCATCTAGATGCTGCTAGCTGCCAAGGTGAGATGGCTTTCTGCTGTTGCTTTGTGCTTTTCTGTAGGCTGTAGCAGTATGTAGATGCATCTAAGAAAGCTCTATCTTCACTGCCCTATTACAACTAGATAAGCCAGCTCCTTTGCAGGTTAAAAGCTTGCACTCTGTACTGTAGTGCCCCTCTCCTGTTTGCTCCTCAAGCTCTCCCTTTTCCAAATTTAAAATGCTTTATTTATATTCAGTTAAAAACAAAAAGAAACAAAGGCAAAACTTTTGTAGTGAAAGAATTTAATTTAAAATCTTACCACAAAACAGCCAAAGGGTTCAGGTTAATAGTTAATGGCACAGGTTAATGGGCCAGGACAGGAATTACAGGTGAAGTCCTGTGGCTCATTTTATAGGTAAGGCTACACAATAGGCTCACACAGAACTTGTCTGGTCTTACAGCATGTGAATGACATGTAGCAAGGTGAGTGCGTGTGGTCAAGCTGTTGAAAAGTTGTGGGTTTGTGGGGGGAGCAGAGTTTAATCTTGATTCTTAAGGGCAAAGAATTACTTGTTAGCCAAACTCAGAGCACTGAGGGTGCTTACTGATGTATATGATAATAAGTTATATTAATTGATTATTGCTGCTTGAATGTAGCTTGTGAGAATGACTTCTACAGTAGCCAGCAAAAACTCAAACCTATTTTTCTTTGTTTCCTCCCTTTCCTTTGCAGCTATTAATCAGGAATCACTGTCTGTGGTACAAGTTACACTAATAAAAATGAGAGGTCAAAGTGTGGAATCCCTTCATCAGGTAAGGAGAGATGTTTGGCAGGAGGGTTTGTGTATGGGCATTTAACCAGTTTCCAGTGTAAGGGAGACAGCTGTAAATCAGGTGAACTTGGCTGGTCTGGATTTAGCTGATTTAAATAGAGTAATTGAAAACAGCCATTTGCCAGCTATCCCTATTGGGGATAGGATAACAGCAGCATTTGAGTCCAGAATAGTATGAAGAAGTTTGGAGTGATCAGCATGGAAATACTGCAAGCCAGCCATTATCTTCCTTAGGCTTCCAGAGAGGAAATGGAGAGTAGGCCAACTTGCACATTTTCTGTGCAACACAGCCAAGACTATCCTTGCAGTCTGTGTATGTGTTCCAAAGCTGATCATTTTCCTGTTCCAGAAGCTAGAAGGAGCTCACATTGGAGCAAAACTAGACACTCAAGTTCTAATTACTATAATTTGTATTACTATACTATGTGTGCTGGGCTCTTTGTTGTCAACATCTTATTTTCATCAAACTCTTGTGAAAAGGCAACCATATATGGCAAAATATGTTATATCATAGGTTGTGTTGTGGAAAAAGCCTAGTTAGTGGGTTTTTTTTTCTCTCTAAAGCCAAACATCATTACTTTTCAAATTGGAGCCATACCCATAGGGGTAAATATATTTTAAAATGGATTTACTGTTTCTTCTGTCCTGGAATCCAAATCAGCGTTATCGGCTCAAAGAATTTTAAAAAAATCTACTCCTCCTTTTTTCCTTTATTCCCAGTTCTTTTCTGATCAAGAACTTCAGTCACTTCTTAGGATTTGTTTTTTTCTCTTTTCATGCCTCCTACTAGACCCAGTTAAGAATGATAAGGAATTTTCACTTGCCACTTAACAGACTATTTTACTTTGTAATTGTTGGGTTATTTTTTCCCAAAGATGACCACTGTGCAATACAAACCCCTATTAACTTATTTCTGTATTTCGGTGGAAGGATTGATGTGTGCAAGGCAGAGAGCGAACATCTTCCTTTTTAAGTGGATGTTTGTTTTTTTTTAAGTAGTAACTAAAAAATACAAGACTAGGTTTCTTGCTGTTGGCTAGACCATACAGTGTGCATCTGCTCCTAAGAGTACAGCTAGCCAACATGGGTTTCATCACAGTATTTATTTATTTATTTTTAAATTAAAAGCCAGAATAGAAGAGTAGTGGGACTGGGAAGCAGTTTTCTGTTTTGCTGTCAGAAGTATTTTTGGTTTAAATGTCGTATTCTTGAAATAGGCCTTAAAATTAGCACATAAAAGCTAATTGTCAACAGGAAGAACAACTAGCTAGGAAAGCTGGAAATTCTTCAGGTGTTAGTAATTCCTCCATAGAAGTGAAGTCACTACAATTTGTGTACAACAAAACTTGCATTTGAGAGTTACTGTTGGTTCCTTTTTTGTTTTATTACTGAATGTTAGGTAGAAAGTGTGTGTATGTGACACTTGGTGACTTTTGTACACCTTGTTTATTTGTATAGTTGCTAACTCTACTTCTTTCAGCTCATCTAGGATGTTCAAGCACTTGGGGTTTCCTTGTTGCAATTTGTTTATTTTAAACATATTCTTCACTCATGACTGAGGCTGACACTTGTACCAAGAAGTGTCAGTTCTCTAGATTTATGTCAAGTATTTCATCCGTGTTAAGGGATGCTGAAGACATAGTGTACAAAGATCAGCATCTGGCTCAACATTGCAAAGCAGCAGAGTGCATTTGTAAATTTTTTTTAATGGTCTGCAGCTTCTTCATTAAGCAGTGCCTTTCAAAAGGCCGAGAGGATGATTTGAAGGAATGGGAGAAGAGCTTTGGAAAGCATAAGCTTGCACAGCCAGCATCCTTAGGCTGTGTCTGAGCTCATCGTTTCTATTCATGTGTTCATTTCTATTCTTACTAAACTGGCAGGTCAGAGCGCCCAGAGGCAGGAGCTGCACAGAGCAGCACAGCCAGAGCTTGGACGATATCCGCCTTCACAAGCGCCGGCACCCGCCGCTGAGTGCCACGCTGTCCTCGGACACGTCCCACAGCTACACGTTCGGCTGCGCCCTGGAGGACAAGCTGGCGCTCTACGGCTGCGTCTACTCCACGGCAGACTGCAAAACCAAGTCTGCCCTTTATGGGAAGCGATCCATGAACTGCCTCTCCTTGGATCTTCTGGGAGAGGACCAGCTCCCGGAGGAATTTGTGGTGTAATGAGATTGGAGCTTTTCCACATGAGGGAACAGCTCATCATGGAAACAGAAGTGATTATATATACCTCATTAACACGTGGGATGTCCGTCTGGCTCTTGTAGCAGGCTGTAAGTAGCTTTGTTACTCAGCTCCATAATCAGTAAGTGACATCACTTCTGCAGAGCTGACCACAGGGCAAATTAACTGGAGTGTAGCACTTAATTTGGCATTTGAAGCGTCTGTTTAGAAGAAAATGGAAGCAGCCTGTGCCATTAGTGGTGACATAACTGATGTAAACCACCCCCCTCCAACAGTGGACCAAAACCGATACTGACTTTTTAAAGAAAACACTGTGTCAAAATGGATTTATCGGGAAGAAATGAAACAGTCCATGTCAATTTAGCTTTCTGCCTTTATGCTTTGATCCATTTATGTTAATACCAGCACACAAATAATTTGTTGCCTTGAGTTTGTGCAGCTTCAACACTGCCAACAGCTGTGAGGACAGGATATGCCCCAAGCCCGTCAGGAGGTTTGTGAATGGAAAAGTTCAGTCTCTTCTCTTTGTAATGAACAAAAGTTGCCCATTTGCTCTGCTGGGCACAAAACATGCCCTGCTGTGAGTTTTTCTAGTTGTTTTTGTTTTGTTTTAAGCATCCAACCAAATACAGTTTGGGTTTTCTGTTCCTCCCCCCTCCCCCCTTTTTTTTTAAATGCAGGAAATAACTGTCTACTAGTTTCATGATTAGATTGGTAGGTAAATTCTTATATCCTAGGAGAGATGGGGAAGAGAAGAAAACAAGTGATCTGTCTTCTGTCCTCTCTGAAGGAGCCAAGATGACAGTGCTAGCTGACTGGCTCTTGATGATGGAAGTGTGACTGGAAAATTTGTCCAAGCATGATCACCCCTTACTCTGAATCACAGTTTTTATGATGCTCTATTTTTAATAAATCTGCTTAAAAATTGTTACCCTTTGCTTAGGAGGCAAGTATGAGCTGGAGAAAGTCACTCCAGAAGGACAAATCAGGTAGTTATTAGTGACTTTGTCCAATTTAGTCCTGGACAGAGCGTGCAGGTGTGAGTGATGTTGCAGGGCCTGTGATGGTCGAAGTGTAGTGGGGCTGTGTGCCAAGACAAGAGAACGTATATCATGATATTGAGTCCTATGGAGCTGAGTATACTGGCTCTCACTGATACAATAGCTGTGGTTATGCTGTTTGATTAAAGCATTTGTTTGGTAAGAAAAACATCTTGTTACTTTCTAGCAGCCAAATAAATATTTATTTGATTTCCTTCCTTCCACCCCCTTTTCTCCCTTCTCCCCTCCACCCCCCCCCGCCAAGTTGATTCCCAGCATTTTTTTTTCCATTATTCCAAACAAAGCCAAAAATACTTTTAGAAAATATGGAAGACATTTTTTTCTGTTTCCGAAACAAACTCTCCCGAAAGGATCTAAATGGTTTAGGATCACCCATCTGCTCACGAACAGGCTAGTGTCACCACCTGCTAGCTGGGGCCTATTGGGCAGTGGTCTGTGGAGAGGGGCATTGCCAAGACCCAGGAGACTGGGTCCCAATGGCCACAATGGCGGTGCCTGTGTTTTAATGAAAAAGCAGGGAGTTTTGGTGTGACTGTTGCTCTCCCACATATGCTGATGTATTCCAGCCACTGCAGGAAATGGTTTAAAGTGGGAGCAGCTCTTGGGAAGGCTGTTCTGTGACATATGCTCACAGCCATTCACACTTGTTGTCTCAAAGGCAATCACATTCCTACCTGCTAGAAGTCTAAGCAGCTTAGCTGAAATTCAGCTGAAGTACTTAATCAGCTTGGGTTGTTTTTTCTCTTCTCTCTCTCTTTTTTTTTTTTTCTTTTTGTAGTGTTAACAGGCATTAAATTGGCGTGAATGAGCTGGTGTTGGAACTCTGGTTATTTCTGTTTCTGGTAAGATAACATAAAAACAATATTTCTACATACACTTGAACTCTTGCTGCCACAATTTCAAAATGCTGTAATTTTAGTCTTGCAGGGCTTACAAAATATACCAATGCCTAAAAATAAATGTATGTGGTTCTTGCATGTGCATTCATTGCTTCTGATGCCTGTATGTACTTGGAGTGCAGGGAGAGAGGGAGGATGTATTTATTCATGGATTGTGGGGAAGGAGAAATCTCCAAGTTTGACTGTCGTCTTCCATTTGCCTACACAGCTCCCTCCAGTACTATACGTTACATATGTACATAAAGGGGAGACTGGACACTTTTTTGTGTGTGTGTAGACTGAAAATGATTTAATGAATATCTTACAAGCACTGTGAATATCTATTATGCAAGTTTTTGTATTCATATAAAAATGTTAATAGTAGTAGATTTTTGTTGTCTTCGGACTTAGGTCTTTTTATATATTTTTTTTTTGATTAGTTTGGTAGAGGGTAATGTAAGTGTTTATCAGCTCATGTTAGAAACTAGCTGCCAATGTTTGTACATATTTGTAATATACTCATGGTATAATCACTATTTTAATGGTAAACATTTCTCCTTTCCATGAAAGGAATTTCTTGTTTAAAATAAAATATAAATAATTATACGTACACCTGCAATAAAGTATGAATAGAAAAGGTAATTGTGTGTGTTGTTTTTTTTTTTTCTCTCAAGAGGTACATGTCAATGACATCTTTCATTAGAGATAAATAGATTGTGCAAATGACTCTGCTACTCCATTGCAACACACATGAGCTCACTTTGGAAGTCAAACCATAAGCACTGTAAGCAGTGGAAAAAGTACTTTTTTCTCTTTGCTTGTCTCAGCAGCAAGCTGCCATGCCAGTCTGTTATGCATTAAGGACCCAGTTCAGCTGGTTGGGGTCAGCAGGAGTGCTAATGGGACCTGAATCTAAATAAAGAGAAAAGTTAAGCTGCTGTGGGAAAGAGAGAAACACTCTCATAGTCAAGAAACATTATTTGGGCAACTCTGCATAGTGTAGAGAGATCGTGCAGCATCCTCCTTAGGGCTGCACCTGATGCAGGGCACACCAGCATGTGATTTGAAATGCTGTTCAGGAGCTGTCACCTGCAAGTGATCTAACATGCTGGCCTAGTAACTGGTACATATGAAGGGGGGAAAAAAAAAAAAAAAACTCAGGATAGGTGTTTTTTGTTTCTCCTAAGTATTTTCTCCTAAGTTACACAATGTGTATTTTCTCCGAGGACAAATCTTTGAAAGAGCACCCGAGAAAACTACCTGCATCCCCTCAGAGTAGTTTGTTGCCTGGGATTCCCTCTTAAGCTGATTTTCTTTTTCTATGGATTATTCATGCTAGTATTCAAAGGGAAGGCAGATTTTTTTTTCTAAATGTATTTCAATGTTCTACCGTAGCCCTCAATCTTACGACCCCCTTCTTTCCCATTCTTCACTGTTTTTTTTTTTTCTGTTGTAGCTGCTGTGTTTCTAGTATAGGAATTCTCAAAGACTTCAGTGACTTTCATGCAACTCCAGCTCCGGGCTGTGGGCGTGGAAGGTGTTTGGTTCCAAATTCAGTTTTTCTAGGGAGATAAGTGTGATGGCGCTTCCTCTCGTGCTGGGATGCATTTGGCTCAAGCATAGACCACAGGGGGGGAAGTTGAGGCACAGGGATGTGCTCCTTTTGCTGCACCCAGAGAGGGGAAAGCAACCACTGGGGCCTCCCTTCAGGCATGCGCCCTACAGCTCCCTAGCCTCCCGTTCTGGTTTTACTCTCCTCCTTGGAGTTTGGCCCTTACAGCCTGGCAGTAGCTGCTGCTCCCCCTCTCCCCCCTGCAGGGTGGTCAGCAACGGAGCGTGAGGGCAGCACTGGGGGGTCCCCCCGGCAGGGGGCACAGGACAGCGTCATGGGATGCAGGGATGGAGGGCAAGGGCTCAGCTTGATCAGAAACCGCTGCTTATTTGTACAAAACAACAGTGCAGGATTAGGAGAGCTTTACTAAAGCCTTCAGCTTTTGAGACCCTTCTCACTCCTCCCCCTTTTAACAGCGTTGGAGGAAGGGCAGCGCCCACGACCCGCCTCCGGCTCCAACACCCGCCCGCGAGGCGGGGCCGGGCACGCCCGTTGCGGCCGGTG